TATAAAACATACTAATAAAATAGGTAGCTAACTCCCATAATTATTATAATATATTACTGAAGATAGCTACTTCAAAAATATATCCAAAATATGTCATTGAATAAATGTTATAAAAACATACTCGAAAACACATATCAGAAACAGGTAGCCTTTTCCCATAATTATTATAATATATTACTGAAGTTAGCTATCTCTTATAATCTATTACTGAAGTTATATACCCAAAGTAATACACTAATTGAGACTGCAATTTTCTTCATTTATCTCACTAAATCTTGATACATCTTTTTTTGATATCTCTTATCAGGCAAGAAAAAAAATTAATTTAAACTTTTCCAAACTATATTGTAATAATATAATCGAACAAAGATTGATATATACTAATAAAAAACAAAATACCAAAAATGAGTAAATAAAGTACATAGCAAACATAGTATGGGAGTGGGGAAACCTTAGCAGGAATTCTATCTCGCAGTGATATTATTTCAGAATATGATAATAGGTTAATAGCTATACTTCAACAAAGTTTATCTAATAAACAGCCTATATACTTTATGCCTAATGATGTGAGTGATGCTACTGAGTATATAAAAAATATATTGACATATATTTTATGTATTCATAACACTTTGATTAATGGGCAAAAGGCTAGAATAGATATTACAGGTATTAAACTCTTCTTCGATATTGTCATATCTAATAATAAACCTTTATTTATATTCAAACTAAAATTAGTAAAAATTATATCAGGAGCAGAAAAGATTAATAAATTAAAGTTTGGAATAAAAGTCATCTATGTGTATTCAATTCATGGTTACTATACCAAGAAAAAGGCATATATTCATATTATTACATGGAATTATTATAATAAAATATAAGCACAATATTAAAACAGCATCAGATAATATTACTAATATTTATTATTATTAAAAGGTAGCTCATGAAGAAAGACTCTCCTCTTTGAGTAGACCATATTAAGCAATTATAATTACATATCAAATACAAATTTATCACATTATTATTTCTGTGTATTTGTAAATAATTTTTAGCCTTTAGAGAATAGTAAGCTAGATAAACAAATAGTATCTTCAGCTCTCATATACAATTAAACTCTTGTGCTTATCTGAGATATAGAAATATATAGTAGTCATAAGATAAATGACGTACTTATGGCAAAATATGAAGAGAATTAAGTTTTTATAATTTGCATGACCATACATTAGAAGGATGATCCAAAGCTATTAAAACAGATTTGTCTTGTCAATGTTGAAATAGTATCTGATCCAGATTGAGTTATAGTCATGTGTAAAAATTAAACAAACTTATTAAAAGCATTTGCTCTTTGTTGAAAAGCAATCATATCAGATATACAAATTAGGTTTAATAATTCTTAATATGATTGGATTTTTATTATAAAAAAAGCTAAAAGTTTAGATATTCTTAAATGGATATTTAATTATATATCATCTGAGCTATCCAATATTGAAGAAATTATAAAATAGAAATATCGAAAAAGTAAGATAAAAATATCTGATGAGAAATTCTACTCAAAGTATCTCAAAATCCTAGAATGTATACCTATTGATATTTATGCTTGTTTCAAAAAATTATATCCAAAATCAGAAGCAAGTTCACTAAAATATTATCTAAAAATCTATGAGTTAGATAGTAAGACAAATATGCCTTATAATAAAATATAGAAATACTATGAAGATGCTATATTTCAAAACTCTAATAGCTTAGCTAAAAATATGTGTAAAATAGCCTATTATTGTATTATAGATATATTGCGATGTCAGGAGCTTATAGTTAAGCATAATGTAGTTAATGATTATCAGAAGGTGTTATCTATTGCATATGTTTCTCTTTCTGATACTTACTATTTTGCAAGAGGTATAAAAGTATATAATCTTTTGGGAGCTAAAGCTTGAAGCAGTAATATGTTATATAGTATAATTGCTTTAGAAAATACAGAATCTGATAAGTAGCTAGGAGCTTATGTTATTACACCAATAAAAGGTTTTGAAAACAAACGTCTAGTAATAAGCTTAGATTTTGTCTCTTTATACTCAAGTCTTATAATGATTTATAATTTTTCATCAGATAAAATAATATTATCTTGTGAAGAGGTGATAAATGTAATTTACAGTAGAAAGAAGATCTATATAATTAAGTTTCTATTTAATAGTCAAACTATAGAAGCTTGGTCTATTCATCATAATAATATATCTGAAGAAAAGGGTTTATATACTAGAGTATTAGAAAATCTGTTTAATAAACAAAAGAAAATTAAAAAATATCTTAATAAATTGGATAAAGAAAGTTTTGAATATAGTTATTTAGACTTAAAACAAAAGAAAATAAAATTATATATGAATACATTTTATAGTAAGACAGGTAATAATCTCTTTCTATTCTATTAATTGTAGTTAGCAAGTAAAGTTACTTCTGCTGAACAGTGTAATATTAAATTTGTTAAAAAATTTGTTGAAGACAAAGAGTTCAGTGTTAAATATAGAGATACTGATTCTTTATATCTTATATATCTAGAGGAGTATTTTCAGAAATAAGATCGAAAATATAAATTAGATCAACTTTCACAAGAAGAATACTAGGAGGAAATGGTAAAAATATCTATGGAAGTGATAGCAAACCTCTGTAATAAAGTAAATACTGAGCTTAAAAAAGATAATAGAATACCTTATTTTAATATAGTATATGAAAAAGTCTTATTTTCTGTGGTATTTATAGGAAAGAAAAAATACTATAGTCTAGAGCATAAAGTAAACTAAACTTTAATCTAGATAAGCTTTTTATTAGAGTAGTGAATATTGTAAAAAGAAGTAAATCTAAGCTTTTCCATAATATAGGTAAGGAGATTATGAATAGAACTTTGAAAATTAGTAACGAAGAGACAGTACATCAGATTGTTGAAAAAGTTCTTTGAGAAAATATAAAAAAACTTTCCAAGTTAGATTATGATAAATTTATTTAAATATATATATAGAGGTCTAAAAAGGAAAGTAAGCAGGAAAATATTTCTGTAAAGTGGTTTATTTCACAAATAGAAGCTAAGTATTCTCGTAAAGTATTAGAAAATTAATAGCTTATAAAGAGAAGTTTATCTGCTAATAAATATCTATATAAAGTTCCCAAACCTGATGAACAATTTAGTTATATTGTAGTAGTACCTGAAGAAATTTATAATAACTGCAAGAAAAAAATATCACAACAAAAAGAAGACTGTATAGAATACTCAGATGTGATAAAAAAATTCAACAAGAAAATAAATATTGATTATTATATCAAAAGTCTATTTAGTCTCTATACCCATTTTATAAATTATGATGATAAATATCTACTATCACCTGAATCTCTTTCAAAAGCCATAGATCACAAAAAGAAATCTAAGAAGAAGAAATTAAAAATTGCTAAGGATTTATTACAAAGCAATGACTCTCTAAGTCTAGATAAAAATAAAATAACAAAAATTAAAGATGAAGAGTCACAGAAGTTAGCTAAAAAATGGCTCAAAAATTATATTAAGAACTTATATAATATACTAAAAAAAGATGAAGCTATTATCTTCTATTTATAGAAAAATACTACTACTCAAGCTAAAAAAATATGTTCTGGTATTAGTGAAGCTGGCATAACCAGATCTTCAGACATCTCTGTGGAGCATAATAATTACCTGAATATATTAGACAAAATTACAGACTCCATTCATTAGAAATTATTGAATCTACTTTTAAAATTGTCTAAGCTTAATATAGAATATAGAAATATGATATGTGATTTAATTATACAGATGCAAAAACACAAACCCAAAATTACAATCCTAGAACAATATATATTTCTATATAATTTGGAATCAGAGTATTGAAAATTATAAATTTTTAAAATATATAGTATAAGGTAGTTAGCCTTGAAATTACCTAGTTTCAAGTATTATCAATAACATATAGCAGTAAAAAAGATGACCTATCAGATATTGATGATATCATTAACCTATATTGTTAAGTATTCTTAGCTAAGATTGCTACAATCTACTAAAATATTTATACAATATTAATAATATTTTTTCGTATATAAATAATATCTAAATTTAAATAGATATTTACTTGATTCATATATCCCAAAATCGATCACTTTTTTATAACCTTTTAGAGTTGCTTTTTTGAGCCTGCAGAGCAATATTGCTTCAAGTTTCCTATATTCTATATACATCTTATGAACTATATAATTGCGATAATCAACAAAATAAAAAAAATATATGCTAATAGTGGTAACATCAAAGTAATTGCTACAGTAGCAAGAGGCAAAGCCTCAGGATCAGGTCTCATCTAAGAATTTGATTTAATTAAAGTGGATATATTATCCTCACTAATTTTGCTAATACTAGTTTCATTACTTATCTTGAAGTTAGTCTCAGTATTATTTTTTGATAGTTTGGTAATCTTATTATTAGTATATATCAATATATTACCATTAGTTTTTTCGGTTTGATCTATATTTTTTTTATATATAAAATATTTACTAAGATTAGTACTATCCAAAGATATATTATCAGACTTAGTAATATTTTTTTTGGCATTCCTACTAACTATGAGTTTCAATATAGTTTCTGATTTCAGATACTCAAGCTCATTGACCTTTGATTCCAATTCACTTTTTATATTTTCTAATTTAGCTATTTTGGATTTGAGAGACATAATTTTGGTTTCTTTTTTCGATGAGTCACTTTGAATTAAAATCATATCTTTCTGAGCTAAAGATAACTTACTTTCCAATATCTTGATCATAGACTTGAGTAATTTGATTTTCTTAGATTTTATATTATTCTCAGCTTTAGACTTCACAAGAGAAATGTCTTTATTAGTGTTTTTAATTTGTAAATACCTAGCTTCATCAATGAGTTCAAGATCATGAGTGTATAATTTCTGGATCTCAGTATTAGCCCCTCCTAGTTTTTTACTCTACCTCTTTTTATTCTGATCCTATTGTTCTCTCTCCTGATTAATTTTTTTTTCTTGTTTTTCATATCTATTCTGCAATTTAGTATTATATGAGACTATCTTAGAAGAATCTTGAAGAGTGATATATAATTCTTTTTTAAGGTCTATCATATTGTCCATATTTTTATTTTTTTTTTTCAGCAGTCATGCTATGACTTTTTGATTTATTAAGAAGGTTAAAGTATAAATACATATATTCTTTACTATTCTCTAAACTATGTAATGCTAATTAATCTTAAAAGTGTGACTAACTCAATTATCATTTAAGACATCTATGTTCGACCTGCT